CCTCATTTCATCACCTTGATTATGAATTGTGTCGAGCATGCTTGGTACTCGATTCTTGTGAATGGGGATTTGGGCGGTTTCTTCCCCCTCCTCGCGAGGCCTCAGGCAGGGAGACCCCCTGTCCCCGACCCTCTTTGTTTTGGCTGCAGATCTCTTATCTCGCGGCTTGGAGCGCCTATACAATCGGTACCCGGACCTGTACTATCGGTGTCGTGGTCGGTTCCGATTGACGCACCTAGCCTATGCGGATGATGTTCTCATCTTTGCCAATACCCGTGGTGATCGAATCAGCCTCTTGACGGATTTTCTGACGACGTATGCGCGAACAACTGGCCAGATGGTGAACTGTCAGAAAAGTCAGCTGGTATTTAGCCGCCGATGCCCGGAGAGGGTCCAGCGACAGCTTCAGTCCGTCACTGGTTTCGGCAGGGTTGGACTTCCCCTTACATACCTCGGCGCCCCGCTCTATGTGGGCAATCGGCGTAATATCCTCTACGAAGACCTACTTGGGAAACTGCGGCGATATCTGCAGCGTTGGGACCGCTCCGTTCTCTCTCACGGAGGTCGTTTGCAACTGATCAGAAGCACGCTCTTCTCGCTTCCCCTTTACCTCCTACAGGTCCTTAACCCCCCCCAGGCTGTCCTACACTCAGTGGAGCAGCTCTGTGCTCGTTTCTTCTGGGGCTCCTATCATGGCCACCGTCGCCGCCATTGGATTTCCTGGATGGACGCGGCGAGGCCCCAGGACGAGGGCGGGATTGGTATTCGCCGCCTGTCCGATATGGTTCGCGCCTTCTCGCTTAAATTGTGGTGGCGTCTCAGAGATGGTTCCTCTCTTTGGGCTCGCGCGCTCCAGCATAAATATTTCCGCAGCTCCTTCCCGGGTCTCGCCCCCTGCCGGAACTACGACAGCCCGGTCTGGAAACGTCTTTGCCAGATCCGCGATGAGGCACAGACGCAGATCACTTGGAACTTGGGGCGTGGGGACTGTTTCTTCTGGTATGATACTTGGTGCGGTGATCGCCCTCTCTGCACTGACCGCCGGGTTCGCCCTCCGCCGATTCGGGTGAAAGAGATGTGGGTTAACGGGTCGTGGGATTTGACGCGCCTTCAGGCCTACCTTCCGGCATCCCTTGTTCAGCGGGTATCTGCGATTCTTTTTGACCCCCTGATAGCGGATCAGCCGATATGGAAGGCTTCGGACACAGGTATTTTTACTACTACTTCAGCCTGGGAGATGAGCCGGACAGTGGGGGCTCGGAGTTGGCTTTCCTGCTGCCTCTGGTCGCCACTACTTACGCCTACGATGTCGGTATTCCTATGGCGTTTATTTCGCCGTCGGATACCTGTTGACGAGGCCCTTTGGAGGCTGGGTCTTCCTATTGTTTCTCGCTGCCAGTGCTGCAGTGAATCCGAGACTTTTGCACACTTATTCTTCTCGTCGGCGGTTGCCCAGCGCGTGTGGCGCCATCTTGCCGACCTATTCCGTATCCAAATTCCGCGGACACATGCGCCCCACCTGATGGTCTCTGCTTGGCGTCTGTCCTCCCCACATGCGCGGAGCATCCGTACTTATATCCCACTTCTGGCCTTCTGGTTCCTTTGGACGGCACGGAATGACGCCAAACACCGAGGTATCCAGATTTCCTCTGACAGGATTATTTGGCGTATTCACTCTCATTTGCAGGTGTTGGGCCGTGCTGGCCTCCTTCAGCGACAGCACTGGCCTGGGGAGGTGCACTTAGCCTCTACTCTCGGCCTTCGCCTCCCGCCTCCGGTTCTTCGGCCGCCGGTCATGGTGCGTTGGGAAGCCCCGTCTCCAGGCTGGTTCAAACTCAACACTGATGGGGCATCGCTCGGGAATCCAGGCGCCGCTGGAGCTGCGGGCGTCATTCGGGATGCCACCGGCGCCCCACTTGTGGCATTCCAAGTTCCCCTTTCGAATATGACGAACACTTTGGCCGAACTGCAAGCGATTCGATCTGGAGTGGATCTGGCGGTTGCCCGCGGCCTCCTCCCTCTCTGGATCGAGACGGACTCGGCCAGCAGCATCTCTCTCATCTCCTCCTCGACGGGACATTGGACCCTCCAGCCTTGTCTCCACCACCTGCGCCTACAGCTTCGCAGCATCGAGTGGAGGATCTCTCATATTTTCCGCGAGGGCAACAAAGTGGCGGACAACTTGGCGAACACCTCTGTTGCCCTTCCTCACACGCGGATCCTTGAGCCGGCGGACATCCCTGCGAGGACTCGTGGCCTCATCCATGCTGACGCGGCGGGCCTCCCGTGCTTTCGCTTCCGTTAGCTTTACTTTATATTTCTATTTTACTTTCCAGCACTTGTACCGAACTTTGCAGAACTACGTATGGCTTGATCCCGTTTGGGTACGTAGGCAGCTCTTGGAGCCCAGCCAAAAAAAAAAAAAAAAAAAAAAAAAAAAAAACCCTAAACCCTAAACCCTAAACCCTAAACCCTAAACCCTAAACCCTAAACCCTAAACCCTAAACCCTAAACCCTAAACCCTAAACCCTAAACCCTAAACCCTAAACCCTAAACCCTAAACCCTAAACCCTAAACCCTAAACCCTAAACCCTAAACCCCTGCGAGGACTCGTGGCCTCATCCATGCTGACGCGGCGGGCCTCCCGTGCTTTCGCTTCCGTTAGCTTTTATTTCTTATATTCTCTATTTTACGTTTCCAGCACTTGTACCAAACTTTGCAGAACTACGTATGGCTTGATCCCGTTTGGGTACGTAGGCAGCTCTTTGAGCCCAGCCAAAAAAAAAAAAAAAAAAAAAAAAAAAAAAAAAAACCTAAACCCTAAACCCTAAACCCTAAACCCTAAACCCTAAACCCTAAACCCTAAACCCTAAACCCTAAACCCTAAACCCTAAACCCTAAACCCTTTATTTATTTCTTCTCTGCTTTTCTTTTCTTAGTTCTTAATTCTATATGGACTTAGAACTACATATGATTTGATCCCGTTTAGATAGGTAGACAGCTCACTTTGAGCACAGTTAAAAAAAAATACCTTAAACCCTAAACCCACAAAGAATGGCTTGAATATTAGATTTTTTTGCACCATGGCCTGATCAAATTCTTCAATTTTTTCCATAAAAATAAGAGCTACTATGTTATATGTTTTGAGAAACTTTAATAAAAGCTTTTAATCTGACAGAAAAAACTCTCTATAATAAAGTCATTACCATTGCTCTAAACACGTTCAATTAATGACATTACATATACACAGGCAAGACCTTGAACTTGGGTTTGGGATTTTTTTGAATTTGATGAGACCAAATTTTGGTAATTACAACAATAATTATGGGGTAATCATCATCTTTATGGCCTATGATCATTCTCTCTCTCTTAAATTCCTAAGTGAAGTATTCTATCCTCTTTCTTGATTACATCAACAATTTCTCTTATTTCTATTCTCTAGATTTTTTTTGTTACCTTTTAAATTTTGGAACAAGCTTTCCTAAGTCTTCCCGCCCATCACTTTTGGTATTGGATATAACCTTATATAATAATCGTTTCCTTTTGTTGCCAAGAATAACCAACATCAAAAGCAAACCCCACGGGTCTCAGCCAAAGCGTGCCGTGAGTCAATAAAGCATACATAAATGATAGCGATGAACAAAATCCCAATTAAAAAAAAAAAACTAAGTTAAGAAAATATTTTTTTTCCGTTTCACTTATCATATAATTTTTTATTTTTGTCAGTCTCATTTATTTTGTTTTAATTAATTAATTATTTTAATTTTAATTTATATTTTTTTATTATACAATAATTATTTTTACTAATACAATTTTTAATTATTTATCATTATACCCTTTATAAATTATTATGTCTACAGTAAAATAGATATAATAGTCGGAACGAATTATACACTTTAATCTTATTTTAAAATTTTAATTTATAATTTTTTAATTTTAAATAAACTAATTAATTATTTTAATTTTAATATATAATTATTTTTATTATATAATGATTGTACATGATAATTACAATACAATCGATGTCCGTAATTTCAAATAAATCATAAATAAATTTTTAATTAATCGAAGATGATGTTGTCCCGCATGCACATTATGTGTTCATGCATACTCCTCACACCGGTGAATCTCATGGAAAAGAATGATCAATGTACTAGCAACAATATATTGTTAATTATTTTATGTCCTTTAAATCTTTGTGTCTACATCAAAATAGACATGATAGAAGGAACATAAAGAATATTTAAGGTTGCATTCTTTTGTAGTTTTTACCACATATTTTACTGTTCAATATTTTTTTCTCTAAAACAATATTAAATCATAATTTTTTTATATTATATTATAAATTTATTTTATATTCAAAATATTATATCAAATATTTATGGCTAAATTGCACAAAATCCACATGTGATTTCGTAAAATTGCACCAAATCCCCCGTACTTCTAAAATTGCATCAAACTTCTCGTTGTTTCATAAACTTTGCGTCTAACCCCCTCAGCGGTCTTTATTTAACCGTATTTGATCTAAATGCGCTCAAATTGCGAATAAATTTTAAAACCTCAATTTCTAAACCATTAAAATTATAAATATATTTATTTTTTATATATTTAGCCTAAAAAAATAGTAAAACTAAACTCTTAAAATCTGAGAAAAATAATTATTAATTTTAGGAGTTTATAAATTAAAATTCTAAAATTTATTCGCAGTTTAAGCGAATTTATGTCAAATACCGTTAAATAAGGACCACTGAGGGATTAGACGCAAAGTTTATGAAACCACGAGTGAGTTTGACGTAGAAGTATAAAAATTTGATACAATTTTATGAAATCACTAATAAATTTTGTACAATTTAACCAATATTTATTTATATCACAGTAAAAAAACTATTTAAATTTAAAATTTTACTATTAAAAATCTAAATCCAAAAATTAAAACCCATAAACAAACGCAACTTAAGTAATTAATTGCTGAGGAAGCGAACAGAAGGTAAGTAAGTAGTAGTAGTAATAATATTATTGGAATGGAGAGCGCAAATCTGGAGTTCTGGTGGTAGGAAGCCGTCGCTCCGAAGTGTGACTCATCGGTATTTGAAAGTAGGTAGGTGGGTAGGTAGTTCATTTGGATATCCATTCATCCTCGCCTGCCTTGTCCCCTCTCACTCTCTCCTCGTCTTCGTCTTCTTCTCTGCGGCAACAGTAACACTAAAACAGGAATTTTGTACTTCTCATTCCGATGGCGACGAGGGGGGCTATCCTGGCTGCGATAGCCGATGGCGCGGTTACCTTCATGTGGGTTTTCTGCGCATCTTCTCTGGGAGCTCTGACCTACATCTTCTCTTCCGCTCTCGGTGTGGCCCACGCTCTCCCTGCCCTTCTCATCACCACTCTGCTCGTGTTCCTCCTCTTGTTCTCGTTTGGATTCATTGGCCATCTTTTGGGTGGCGCATCGTTCAATCCCACCGCCACCGCCGCCTTTTACGCGGCCGGTTTTGGTGGCCCCGATTCTCTCGTCACTGCTGCCATCCGCTTTCCCGTGCAGGTATGTTGATCTATTCTGACCCTACTATTGAATTAGCCAACCCTCATAATGCTCTTTGAAAACCCTTCTCATGGCGGTATACAGTTTTACTGGTTAGGTTACTGCTTTTAGATCCATTTCTTCTTGTTTGTTTATGAATCCAACTTTTTACTAAAAATTTGACAAATACTCATCACTCCAAAAGGTCTCTTTCTAAACATAAACTTTTGGATCAATACTCCTGTTTTCCAGTAACCCCTATAAATTAGTGAGTGCGTGTTTGTTTATCCGTACAACCCAGTAGGCGTTGTATGGCCTAAACTCACTGGTTCTCGACGCATTTCTTCTGGACATTTTATTGTTAAAACAATGTCATTGTTTATCCTTTGCTTGACAGGCAGCTGGTGCTGTGGGTGGTGCTCTGGCAATTTTGGAGGTTATGCCGATGCATTACAAACATATGCTTGATGGCCCATCTTTGAAGGTTGACTTGCACACTGGAGCAATAGCAGAGGGCGTTTTGACTTTCACCATATCCTTTGCAGCCCTCCTCATTGTGATTAGAGGCCCCAGCAGCCCACTCATTAAGAATTGGTTGCTTGCTATGGTAACTGTGGCCTTGGTAATTGCGGGTTCCAGTTACACAGGACCTTCTATGAATCCTGCTAACGTAAGCAATCACCTTTCATATATTATTTGAATTTTGGTATCAGAAATCTTTGTTTGATCTCTATGCAGTATTGGCATAAATTAGAAATGATACTGGAATAGATAATATACTTTTCAGAATAATTCCACTGGATTTAATAACTATATTGTTGAAAATTATTGACTACCCCAATGTGATATCTTGACAAGACAGTTGGCCCATTAATTGAATTTGAAATCTAGTTTACTGCTGCTAGTTGTGATAAGGAGGTGCCCCAGGTTTTGTGAGTACATTTGCTCACTGGTTTGGTTGCTCACAGTGATATTTCTAAACCAGAAGATTTCTCTAGTTTCCACGATGCCAGTGTTCTGAGCATTGTATTTTATCCATGCAATTCTTAATATGTCCTGCTTTTTAAGGTTTGATGTAGGTGTTCTAATCGTGAACTAGGGTCTGGTCTCAAATATCTCCAAGCTTGTGACAGGCAATTATTTCTTGGGAGAATTAGGATAAGTCTTCTGGTTTCAAAGTAGAGATCATCCTCTGTTAGTATCAAAGGAAGCATATTGTGTTAATGTATAAAATATATTCACTGTTGATATATATATATATATATATATGTCCTTTTGGGCTTAACATTCTGCAAATGATTTGTGTTCTTCACTTTTGATTGCTGTCCCACATGTTCGTTATCTGCTCTTATGAATTATGATTTCCCATCCAGAATTGTCATCAGCGGTCCCTAATTCTCTCAGTTAAATCATTCCTATGAAAAAATATTATAACAACTCTTGTTCTATTTTTCAATGATGAGATGTCCTTAAGGATAAATTTGAAAGTTCAAATAATTGCCAGTGATGCATATTGGAGTTGTTTCTTCTGCAAGTTCTTATCTTGGATGTGTGGGTTACATTGTAAAAATATTTTGAAAGCATTATGAGACTAAAGTTAAATTAGTACAGGTTCAGACAATGATGATGACACATTTGAACTACTATTCTATGGATGCTAACCTTTGCCTTTATGACCTGTTCAGAGCCTGACTCTTTTTGTTCTTCTCCTTGTATAAAACTTAATCCATGTATCAAGATATTCATTCAAGTTTTACAAATTATTGACATTTTTTTATATATGAAACTGTTGGCTTGAGTATTTATTTATGTCAGTCATTGGTGCTATACTTATTTGACTTATATGCTTCCTTCAAAGTTTCAAAGCATAGCTTACAAGGCATTATAGTCATTTTTTACCAGTGTTGAATGTAGAGTGTTCTTTTGAATCATTTTAATATTTCTTTTTGCTACCATTAAACTTGTGAACAGTATCTTCTCTTAACAGATCAGGATGTTGTTCAGATATATATATATATATATATATTCATAATATGTTGGATGGCCAACACCATGATTATGCATGGACATTGATTTCAAACCTAAAAAAATCTCTCACAACAATTGTTCTTTATATTTTCTTGACTTTGTGAGGCAATTCAATTTTCATATGCTTACAAGTGTATCTGGTTTGATAGATACTTTATCATATTCTGCCCAATGTCAACCTTAATGGCTTTGTTTGTTCCTTCTTATATCATCCTCCACTCCTTCAGAAATAGCTCTTCAAAAAGAAGTTTCAATAAGCCACTTAGTTACAAATTACAGTGTAGCCTAATGTCACTCCTTGCTTCCCCATAAGATTTTCTTTATAGCATTTTTAGTTCGTTGTAATTACTGAAGCTAACATAGGTTGCAATAGACTAGATTTCCCTTGTAAATTAGTGTGAGCATCATCAATTTGCTTAGTACATGTCTTGTGCAAGATGTCCATCAATTTCAGTGCTCGCTCTTGTACTAAATGCATTGAAAATTTGAAATGTTCCATGTTCTTTGTGATTTCAAGTTTATCATTTGTTCCATTGACACATGCCTAGAGAAAAATAACTTGTAATGCAGGTAAGTTATTGTAATTCACTGAACCTATCATTCCATGGTATCGCTGGGATGGTTGTGATTAGGTATCTACTATCCTGAGTGAATACTGGATATGCTCTACAAGAAGCATGTGTGAATGCTATGCCATGTGTATTTTATATACTTCCAATTAACTTTGGACAATCTAATGTGATTAGGACGAGTGTGTTCCTACTCATCTTATACATTATCTAGCAATGCTCAATGCACTTTACTAGCGTACTTAGTTATTGTCTCACACTTAAAAATTGCTGGAACGTCCCCCTAACATGAGGTCATGAGTTTGTTTGAATGCATGCAGGCATTTGGCTGGGCATACATCAATAATAAGCACAATACATGGGAGCAATTCTATGTGTATTGGATCTCACCCTTCATTGGAGCCATACTTGCTGCATGGGTTTTCCGTTTTCTGTTTCCTCCTCCAGTCAAGCAGAAGAAAGCGTGAGGGGCCCTCATATTACTTGGTAGTATAAGAAGCTTCATGGACAAACATAGGTCCACACTATCCATTTTCATCTTTAATAATATTGGTGACATTTGGATTTCATTTCTCCAACCTTTAATAATGGTTGTTATGACATGTAAAGTTGTGTTCAATCTTGCCCTGTGTTGATTGATTTTGAAGTATTGCTCTTACGAAGGATGCATGCATGCTTTCCCTCTTCACTCCTCCCATCTCACACTCCCACCCCTCCCCACCTCAACTCTCCCCCCTAAATAACCAATGAATTTTCACTGCATTGCAAATCACTCCAGAATATAATACCTGAATCTACAGGTATTCAATAGGGACTTCTAAAATTTTTAAAAATTTAGAGGGGTATTTAATTCTGATTTTTAAATTTTTTTAAAAATCTTATTGTATTCAACAATCTATATGATTTTTAAACGGTGGAGATTTTGATGAACTTTTAAAAATATATTACTGTATTATTATTATATAAATATTATTATAATATTTTAATAAAATAATAAAAGTTTCACAAATTAAAATATACTAATAAAAAATATAATATTTTTTAAAATTAAAATATAATAGCAAATTATTAGCAAAATTTTTGGAAATATATATTTTTTAATCAAAATTTTAAATAAATTTTTATTTTTTCTTGCATAAAAAAATTATCCAAATAAATTTAATTAAAAAATTTATAAAGACCATTTGAACCCGAGTCACTTGGATTATTCTTCTCCGTATCCATCCATATCCATTTTATGCATCTCACTTGTACTTTACTCCAGTTTTGAGGGTCAATAAAACACTCTACTTAGTGTTATTACTTTTGTACGAAGCTATACTAGCGAGTTCTCGAGGGAGTCAAAAAATCGCTAGGCCGACGGGAAGATGTTCGAGGAGGAACCATCCGACTCATTATTTCACATTAAATTTGTTAAATTAATAATACATATACAAATATATAATAAAATTATACTAAAATTCTAACCAATTAAAACAAATTAATATAGAATATAATAAAAATTATAAAATTCAAATTATTAATATATAAAAATAGTATAATACTATAATATTATACAGCAATAATAATATATAATATATATATTCAGAGATACTTTATTTTATAAAATAGTAATATTCCATATATATTTCTACATTTTTTGTATTTTTATTTAATTATTTGAATATTTCTTCATCTATTGTGTTTCATATAAATTATATAAATTAATAAAACATTATTTTACCATCCTATAAAAATATATATAAATTCATAAATAATACAATTAAATTTATAAAAAATTATTTAAATCGATAGATAAAATTCATTGAACTATGTAGATTTCTAAATTTACAGAAATTCATAAAATTTTTAAATTTCACTGAAAATCCAATATAATGCAAGAGGAGATCTGGACTCTCTGGTTGACTAGACGTGGTAAATTTTGGTTGCTCGATTTTTCGTGTTGGATTTGTCTGATAAGAGTGGTTTGACTTTAGAATTGTGTTTGAAAATTCATCTGGTTGACTAGACGTGGTAAATTTTGGTTGGCTGGATTTTTCGCGTGGAATTGGTCTGATAAGCTTGGTTTGATATTAAAATTGAGTTTGAAAATTCAACCTCCAGCACCATAAATATTTCGTGGGAGAAAAAAAAAAATATTTTTTAATAATGTAGAGTTTAAATAGTAAAATTCAAAAAATTTTGAACAAAATAACATTTATGTTTTAATTAAAAAAATTTATTTAAAAAATATTTTATTTTAATATTTTATTATAGTAAATAGTATATATCTTAGTGTTTATTTGCTACCGTCTCAATATATATTTTACCTTATCACAAAAATTCATATTTAACATAAAATATTAGGGTAAACTGTTTTGTAATTCCGTAATTAGATCCTTTATCATTTTAATCTCGTAAGTGGAGCATGTCGCAAACTAATATCATAAGTGAAAAAATTTCGTTGTTTTAGTCCTCCAGCGCCGGAGACGCCCGTATGGCTCGTCGGAGGCCACGTGTCTACCAGGTCAACGACACCAGGCGGACACGTGAATTTTATTTATTTTTTTCCATTTTTTTAAATTTTTTTTTTAAATTTATTTTATTTTTTTATTTGGTCCAATTGAAAAAAATTAAAAATAAAAAATAAAATCCATGTGTCCGCCAGGTGTCGCTGACCTGACGGGACACGTGGCTTCCGACGAGCCACGCGGGCGTCTCCGGCGCCGGAGGACTAAAACAACGAAAATTTTTCACTTATGGGACTAGTTTGCGACATGCTCCACTTACGAGACTAAAATGATAAGGGAGTCCAGTTACGATACTAAAAAAATAGTTTACCCAAAATATTACTTCATCCGTCAACTTACAATGTTTACATATTTCTATTTTGGGACGTCCAATTACAAAGTTAACATTTTATTAAATACTTTATTTTTTTCCACAAATACTCTTACTTTACATCACATCATTCATTTTACACAAAAAAGTAAGGGCAAAAATGTCATTACACTATTTTTAACTACTCACTATAATTAATACTATTATTTCTTAAACACCGCACCAAAAGTAAATGTAAATATTGTAAGTGGACGGAGGGAATATTATTTATATTATCGACATGATTTTTTTGTATTTCACATAATAAAAATTCATCAAAATATTAAACAAACAAACCCTTAGGGTGTATTCTTCCACCATTTTTTTCAAAACGATTCCCAATAAATATAATATATTTTTATTTTAGGTAAACTGTTTTTTTAGTCACGTAACTAGACCCTTTATCATTTTAGTCTCGTAAGTAGTGCCTGTCGCAAATTAGTCTTATAAGTGAAAATTTTTCGTTGTTTTAGTCCTCCGGCGCCGGAGACGCCCGCGTGGCTCGCTAGAGGTGACGTGTCCGTCAGGTGTCCCGCTAGATCAGCGATACCCGGTAGACACGTGGATTTATTTTTTTTTCATTTTTTAAATTTTTTAAATTTTTTTAATTGGATCAAATAAAAAAAATAAAAAAATACAAATAAAATTAAAAATTAATTAAAAATAAGTTTTAAAAAAATTAAAAAAAAAATTAAAAATTCACGTGTCCGCCAGGTGTCGCTGACCTGGTGGACACGTCACATCCGGCGAGCCACGCGGACGTCTCCGGAGCCGGAGGACTAAAACAACGAAAATTTTTCACTTATGGGACTAGTTTGCGACAGGCTCCACTTACGGGATGATAGTTGGAAATCGCATGCATTTTATATTCATATCATATGCGATATTTGAGTGATTTTGATTGAATTCTACCTAATTTATATGCGAATTGTTTATTTGCTGTGTGCAGATGACAAATATCAAATTTGGTATAATTGGCAGAAAAAGGGAAGAAAAATTCAGATTTGCACAACCTAGTTAGTCATGACTAACTACACCTTTTTGATATGAGAAATTAATTAAAGGCCCAAAAGCCCATCTACAAAATAATTAGGGAAAAAATTAAATAAAAAGGGGGAACACACGCCTATAGGAGGAGAGAACGTCTAAGGCATATATGCACAGGAGCAGGACACTAACAGACTCATAGATCGCGTAGGAGCAAATCGACAGAGAAGATTCCCCCTCCCGCTATGACTTTATCTTTCTCTTTTGTACTTTGTTACTTGATTATGGAGTAGATACTTTTCTAGTTTGAGGGGTGATAATGTTTTGGTTCTTTTGTTTTGGAGATTCTTGATTTTCTTTATAAAAGTTCTTTTTGATTATCAATATTTGTCTAATTCTGAGAATAGCGTTTGTGATTGTTAGATTGATTGAATATTTTGGTACCGATATTTAAATTAGTCTGATAATCTAAAGTCAATTCAGGTAGGATATCCGTAATTATATTCACACTTGAATATGTGACAACCGGGTTGAATAGTTCCTTCTCGGGGGTTAGACAATCAAATCTAATTGCTCCTTTTAGGTAGTAATTGTTTTGAATTGGGTTTTGCTAGATTGGAAAGCGGTTAGGCAATATTCTTATGGGCGCACCTAAGTTTATTTGCTTAATTAGGGGTAGTTAACGGTCGTACCTTAATTACCTACACTGTAAGGAAAAATTGGTTGTCAGAGCTTGTTGATAACTATAACCAATTTATTGATACTTTAATAAGAATTAACTTTATTGAATTTATGATAAAACACAAGTGTCATAACTGCATCATCCCTTGAATCAGACATCCCCTTGATAGTCAGTTCCCCTTTAATTTAATTGCTTTGTTATTTTATTTTAATTAGATAATAAAAGAAAAATCTCTCTTTATTTACTGCATTAGAATACGAAAGAGTGAATCACACAATCCCTGTGGAGACGATCCCTTCCCCTGTATTACATTAAATTGTGATCACGGATTAGGTGAAATATTTGATTGACTGCGCGACAAGTCAATTTTTGGCGCCGTTGCCGGGGATTGGCGCTTTGTTTTACTCTTTGTGTTATTTTAATTTATCATCTTGTTTATGCCCCGTTCTTCTCGTACAGGTGAACTGATATTTAATCTTGAGATCAAGAAGGTTGAGCGAAAGCTACGAAAGGAAGCCAAGCAACGAAAAGCTGCTCAGGTTGCGAAGCTGGCAGAATCTTTAAACCACCTCAAAATCTCTAGCTCTAGTGACTCTGAAAGTGATCAAGAGACTGTCATGGCTGAGGATACCCGCACTCTAAGGGAGTTGGCTGCTCCCAACTTGGCGCAGCAGCCCTTATGCAATAACTTTCCAACTCTGAATAACACTATTGCTTTTGAACTGAAATCTGGCTTAATCCATTTACTGTCTTCTTTTCATGGACTTGCAGGTGAAGAACCTCACACAAACACTTGCAAGAGTTCGACGTGGTGTGCTCCAGCATGAAACCACCAGGTGTTACTGATGAACAGATCAAACTCAGAGCCTTCCCATTCTCACTTAAAGATGCTGCAAAGGATTGGCTCTACTATCTCCCACCTGGAAGTATTGACACGTGGAACGACATGAAAAAGAAATTTTTGGAGAAGTACTTTCCAGCTTCCAGAGTTGCGATCCTGAGGAAGGAGATATGTGGCATCAAGCAACAATCAGGTGAAACGCTCCATGAATATTGGGAGCGATTTAATAAACTTATCATTAAATGTCCAC